TATCAGGAGTGACATCATCGTCAGGGATGTTATCGTACAGAGACAGCGCACTCCTGTGCTGGTCACTGTGTGATGGGTCTGGACTCGGGTTCAGATGAGGTCTGTCGCTGCGTCCAGCGCTGCCTCCCTGTCCTCCACCTCTCTCTCCTCCTCCTCCTCCTCTTCCTGTGATTCTGCCTGAACCCAGCGGTGCTGCCCAGCCCTGTCTTCCCAGGCCTCCTCCCCAGCTGCAGTAGCTGTGGTCTGGCCAGGCGCCAGGGGCTCTTCCTCCACCAAACCATGTGGGAACCACAGCCACAGCTGGGCTCAGAGCAGACCCGGGGCTGCAGGGACCTGGGAGTCTGCTCACAGCCGGACTCACTACTTTACTCTCCATTTCCTTCTCCCCGCTCCTGTTACGCTGTGCAAAAGGTGGGCAGTTGTCGTAGAGAGGGTCGGTGGAGCAGGAGCTGACTGTGGTGGGGGTGTCGCTGAGGAGACAGTGCAGCTCCATGGCTCAGACAAGCACATGGGTGCACTCAGTGCCCTCGGTCAGAGCCCTCCCCTCCTGTGTCTGCGGTCACCGTGGAGCCTCCTCGTGTCAAGTGCTGATGTGTGGTGGAGAGAGAAAGGTGCAGGAGGTGCAGGAGCCTCCCTCTCCTCTGGCCGCCTCTACTGTGCCCTTAAGGCCACTTGCCTCATAGTGGACAGGTTGTAGTGTAGGTGCTACTGTATGTGTGCATCAGTGTGTGTGTCTTTAAGTAAGACTGACATCAGCTGTTACTTTAGCACGGCGTCTGAGGGCGGGACCAGGGTGTAATATGGTCCGGCACATTCCTAGAGACAGTCACATATAACCGCAACCACAGAAATAGACGGTGTCTGTAAGCACAAAGTGTGAAACACAATTAAGTCCTAATCTGTGCACAGTGTTAGTGCAGTGAACCAACAGTTGAGGACAGATTTAAGAATGTGTTTCCTCATTAGTGTGGTTCCTCTCACAGCGGCTTTTTAAAGCCGGCTTATATTAGTTTACTCTGCTCACAGCAACAAAGCAGTTCTGTGTAGTATAACATCCTGAGGTGAATACTAGCAGTACTGCATGGTGTAAGCAGTACCAGAGGGAGTGTAGCTGCCCTTTAGTACTTGAGGAAAACAACTGTGAGTGCTCTTAAAGAACATTTCTCCAAAATGTTTCTGTAAAAGGTATTTTCAAAAAGGATGAAAAAAAAAAAAGAGGAGCCGCTAATACTGTGGGAGCAGGGACCCCTCACTGCAGCGGCTCTTAACCTTTTCTTTGGCTTCTGATCCCATTTTGACATCACAAATTTGTGAATTTTGTTAAACTGCGTTGCAAGTAGTAGTAGTAGTAGTTATTTAATGACACATAGTTCCAGCTCACATATTGTGTACGCTGCATTTTTATTAACCCTAATTCTGGCCCGAACCCTAACCCTAAGCTCAGATCTCGGTTTTCTTTTTTGTTATTTTTTTTTTGTATCAGTTAAATACATTTTAAATCGTAAAGAAAAAGCTCAGATCTAGGTTTTCTTTTTTCCTTTTTTTTGTTTATCAGTTAAATACATTTTAAATCGTAAGGAAAAAGCTCAGATCTCGGTTTTCTTTTTTGTTATTTTTTTTTTGTTTTGTTTTTCAGCTATCCCACTAACGCTGCAGACGTATCATTGATTTCCCTCCATTTTAATCCATTTCTGTCTGCATTCCACTGTAGTATTGGTTAACAAAAGCATGCACTCTAGACAGAGGGCGATCTATGAGAGACAGTTTCTCTGAAATCAGGAGCAATAAATCTTGACCGGCAGACAGAGAGACGGGGACGGACGTTCAATTTTTAGAAATCAAAATCTTCAGTAGTTGCGTGTTTAAGCCACTGGGTGGCGCTGCGTACAGCATTATGAAGAGTGGGCGGATGATGCGTCTTAGAATTTAAATGAATCAAAGCGAATTAATCACAAGGATGGCACTTAAAAGCAAAGGAAATACACAGAGGTCACCAAAATAGTTTCATAAATAAGATTATTTCTATGTCGTTTTCATGGCAGTTTGGTTTGAACAAAAAAAAACAAACAGTGCTGCTGCTTCAGGATCACAGATTTACTGAACATCACTCAGATTTATGTCTGTTTTTTGAAGGGCACACACCGGAGAAGCCAAGCAAACACCGCAGACTTAATGACTTTAGAACACGTCTCAGTCTCACGTCTGTGTACGCTGATAATACTCTGACTTATCTGCGCCGAGAAAATCTTTGCTGTGCAGACCCCCACTATTTGTTTTTGTTTTTTTGGCTGCTTTAAATCTTGGCACCACCGAGCTTCTTCTTCGTCCCTCTCAGGGATGCTCCAAAATATCTCCAACGTAACAGCAGGTAGAGGAAACAGAACATCTAGAATGACCCATATTTGCTGAAATCCCCTCGCATCCGTCTCTCTGGGAGGTTTAACCCTGACCTTTCAGGTGTTTTTGACCTGAGGTTTGACAATCTTGTTCTCCGTACATCCTCCCCATCCTCAGTCTTATCACGGCTGGATCTCTGCTGGAGGTTAATCTTCTTCCAACACCCCTCACCCTCCCTCCCTCCCTCCGTCCGCTCTCCTGTGTCCCTCTCCACATCCTGTACGTCTGCTGAGTTGTTTGTAGCCATAACGACAGAATCCATGGCAACACCGATCTGCATGGATCTAAAAATTGAAGATGGATGGATGGAAGGGAGTCGGGGGGAGTGGTCTGTGTGGCTATTTTAGCATGTGTCCTATTGGAGAGAGTAATAGAGGAGCGAGAGACCCCGTGCTTGACGAGAGACCGCTGTGACAGGAAGTGATGCCTCCACGTGCAGCATGGAGCCACATTCTCCATGAGCAGCTACAGCATCATATATTTGCTCAATACGTGCATTAAAACAAACAAACAAACAAAGATGAAGTCACTGTGATAAGAACTCAGTGACAGTGACACACACACACAGACCGACGACCTGCTCTGTCACAGAACGGCAGCAACAAAAAGCTGATGCTCTTTGTAATGCAAAGTAGCAGTTGTGCATGCAGGTGTGTTTTAGAGAGATTAACATCCCGGCTGTTTCCTCTGATCCTCGACGTCTGCCTGTGAACGTGCGTTAAAGCTGCGCCCGCTACCTGAGCAGATTATAGCCTTTTTTGTGGTTGTTTTTTAAGGAAAAATAAATATAGTTATTAATACAGAGAAAACCAGGTTTGTCATCCATCAGTTGTGGATGCACTGATGCAACATCAGTGTTGATTTGTGCAGACAATGGTGATTAGGTCTGGACTGGTCAAACTCAATCACGCACAGGGACGGAATATAAATCACAAAGTCGAAGTCGTGGTCCAAACAGTGTTAACATTTATTGAACAGTCTATTGCATTTCCAGGATATGGGTCACAAAATCAATGTGCATTATGGGAGATGTTTTGTGTTTGGTAAACAAATGTACACTTAGAATATATATATGTATATATATGTTAATATATATGTATATGTATATATATATTTATATGTATATGTATGTATATATGTATGTACTTTATGTATACATGTATGTATGTCTATAAAAATGTACATATGTATATATGTCTATATGAGTATATATATAAATACATTTATACATTTAGTGCATATATATGTATATATATATTTGTTTTTGCCTGTTTCGTATCTGTATTATTTTAACTCGGCTTCATATGTTTCTACAGGACATGTCTTGTTGTGTCATCACCAGAATTCTCCTCGTTTGTCGTTTGCTGAGGGCAGTGGAGTGTGGAGCTCGACACAGAGCTGCAGAATGTCACACGAGGGTCCAAGTGGTTTGTGATTCACATCAATGTCATTCCTGTCAGTCAGTGTCCCCGTGTGCCCTACGGCGTTTTGCGTTTTCATCTCACTCCACACATCATGGCCGCAGACTTGTTCATTTACAATTTTACACTCATTTTATGTTCAAACCAGGACTCCATAAATCCGGACCTCAACTCCAACGTCCATCAAGTCTCTCTGGTCAAGGTCTCATTCACTCCAGGGCAATATTTGACAGCACAAACGAGAGACGCTCACGGCTCCTCTCCCACTCGTACCGCCGCAGATGTGCGTCACTGGCGACCACGTGTGGGTCGTGATGTTGCTGCTGTTTAATTGGAGTGTAATTCTTTTTCCATAGCATCCCTCCCTCCTTGTATAATCCGCTCCCTTCCATAGCTTCTGTAGAACTCATGTTATTTTTATATCATTCACAGTTTGATTTAAACGTGTGCGTTATCTCAGAGGCACTCCGCGTCATGTGACCATGTCCTGAGGGAAAAAAGGCACGATGGACATTTGTTGTCAGGACTTTGTTTCTTCTCATGGTTGAGCAATATCACACATTTCTACATTCAATTAACAGTCTCTGTGGAGTAACCATGGGAACCGCAAGAGAAGACGATGGTGGGAGAGGGCAACTGCTTAACAACCAGGCCGCTCCTGTGTCTCACTGCAGTCTGGTGCAGCTCGTGCACTGTATTTACTGTACACACACACACACACACACAACTGTTGCCTGAGCTCTGTGTGTATGTGTGTGTACAGAGGGAAGAGAGATGAGAGTGAAGAAATGCAATTACTGCAGGTAGTGTGGATGGATGGATAGAGGGAGTGTAAGGAGTGAGGAGAACAAAGAGAGGGGCAGAGTGAAGAGTGTGAAGCTGGAGGAACTGGGAGAAACCTCTGAGACAGAGACAGAGAGGAGCTGAAAATATTTGGTTAGTTCAAAGAAAACAAGTGGTGAACGCAGCACAGGAAAAGAAAAAAATGTCACTGATTTGATGACTTATTCTAACTTCCTCTCCCTCTCTTCCTCTCAAGGATCTCTTTGAGGGGAACCATGTTTGAAGTGGCTGCATATGCAATATAGTGTGTCAGTGGGAGGTGAAGCAGGAGGTGGGTGGAACGCAGCAAAAGACAGATCAGGAGTGGGAGTGGGGGGGGGAGGAGGGAGGCGGATGAGGAGGGTGTACAGTAGGTGAGGAAGAAACACATGTCAGTTTTCTCCTCCGCTCTGTAACAGCCTCAGCAGACTCTGCTCTGTTGTCAGTGTTGCACCAGTGCAGTCACTGTGTGTAATTCAGATGACATGTACTGTATCACTGCCACATGGTTAATAACTAAGTTATGATGCAACTAGTGAGACTGGGTTTATATGGCTGTGAACAAGCTCAAAATGTCATTACTAGTGCAATGGACTAGGCAATTATACTAGTACTGTGTATACTGTACAATACTTTTTTGGCTCCTTTACAAGTGACAGGGATAAAATGTTCTACCTAGATTTAAAAAATATATATAAATATATATTTACTTATATAGACTATGTATATATTATATAACATATAAATTCTTTTAAAAAAAAATTATAATATAAGATTTAAATAAAATGTATTATTATTATTATTATTATATATATATAATTAAATGTATGTAGTTGTATGGCACAATATCTGTCACTGTGAGTCAACAGGTATATATGTCCACTACTTTAGCCAAGGTGAATAGTGTCTACAATATATTACATTTATATATATTTATATATACATATATTTATATATACATATATTTATATATACATATTTTTTAAATTGCTCAACTACCTGTAGTTTCACTTGTGATCTACGTATTTGGCACCCCTGCTATACATAATATTTAATATTATTATATTAAATATATTCTATATTACATTATATATTTCTATTAGTATTATAAAATGCCATATGATCATAAGGGATGTCACATGATCTAAACCTTAACTCTTTCTCTCTCAGATTATGTTTTCGACTGCGGTGCTGTATTTACTCCACATCCCCTGGTACCATTTCATCTCAGTGTTGAAATATATGTTCTCTAACATTATTTTATAATGACATTGTTTAACTGAACTGTGTGTTGAAATGAACCAGGATTTTCCTTCAGAGAACAGTCTCTTCACTTTGAGTTAGAAAAGAGAAGCAGAGGAACAAGGAGAGTAATGGGAAAGAGATGCAACATGGGATTGTGGGAAATAAAAACTGAGCAAATCAATAGAGGAAAGAAATGGTGTGAAAAAAAGAAAAAGCCAGCGTTTCATAAATGTAGGGAGCAGATGTAATTGCACCTGAGGGGCTACAGGGACCGATGGCTCTCCACGGCCCAGTGAGGAGGACAGACACGTCTGACCTCCTCACTGGAGGCTCAACTGTTTCTCAGGAAAAGTTGACTTTGCACCGTTGGCTTCCAGATCCTTCCGTGGGCGGGTGTTTGTGGCTGTTGGTGCGGCTTTTCACACATTTGAAGCGCGTCCAGTTTGTGGAGAAAACCCGGTCCAGGCCTGAGGAGGCGATCCTCTGGTGAATGATTGTGTCTGGGAAAAGGCACAAATGCATGATGGGAAAAACCAGTATGAGTGTCGGAGGTCAGGATTGTGATTAAGCGTCCAGACGTGTCACCTCCTCCCCCCTGCCTCCCTCCCTCCCTCCCTCCCTCGCTCCCTTCAGCCGGTCATTTCCATGCACACACTTTGTTCTTTACTGCACAGGAACGCATGAATCTGTTATGAGCACTTTAGAGTTGGCAATTCATCAAATCCCTCTCTCCTGTGTGTGTGTGTGTGTGTGTGTGCCAGGTTTTATAGGCCGACACACTTCCAAGTGTAAGGATGCTCTTCTATTTATAGGCTAAAAAGCAGCCACTGCTTACATTTATGGTTATAACTAACACACAAGAGAAGAGCGGAGCAGACGACTGGAACTCGACAGATATTTATGAGTTCATGGTTGACATTACAACATGTACGACATATGTCCAACACGAGGCCCGCTGGCCAAATCTGGTCCACGTCGTTCAGTATATAGTATATATACATATGTATATATATATATGTAAATATATATACATATATGGGTGGAGGTTACAGGTTACAGTTACCTGTGTTGTTTACACTGCAAACTCTGCTCAGCTTCTGTTATTGTAGCAGTCACTCACACAACCACTGCGGCTTCGCCCGGTATCTACCTGGTGTAGTGTTGACCTGACATTTTCTAGGTGCAAAATAAAAATAAAGAAAACGTCAAGTCATCTTCTGCGGTTGTGTTTTGCCAAAATCCAAGTTGATAATTACAGTTGTTTTTTGTTTGTTTTTTTCCTTTAAAAAGTTGGTTTTAATGAGGTGTGAGATGCCATCTCAGCTCTCTCTGAGTGATGAATAAAATAACCCCAAAAAACTAATTTCAGAGTCTGGAAGAAATCCAAGTCGTCTTTGTAATTTACAAAATACTCGTGTTTGTCCTTGTAAACTTGTCACAAGGGTCGGAGTGAAACCGAAAAATAAAATAAAAACAAAACCTTAGATTCTTAGATGCTCTTTTGTAAACGAGGTGGCCGTCAAACCATTACAATTTAAATTTTGATTAGCTGTGATCAATCGTGATTAATCGAGAGGATTCTTTAGCTTTAATATGCATGGGATTTAGCTGTTATGAAATACATTACTCTAAATATACAGTGTATATATATGTGTGGCGTGACAATAAAGTCGTGACGGCAGCAGCTGTTGTTCTGCTTCTGAAAACTGAGGTTGTTTGTTGAAGTTGGTTTCTGTTTGGCTGCTGCTGTAGTAGTTGATGTGTCAGAGAAGAGAAAGGAAAAGAAAAACTACAGAGAGGGAGAGAGCCAATCTGAGTCTGTGGGTGAAGACGTGCCACGGGCACAGGGTGTGTGTGTGTGTGTGTGTTTCACTTTCACTTCTTCCTCAGTGAGAGCGCTGATGATCACAGACTCTTACTCCCCTCCTCTCACCGTGGGTGAGTCGACACATCGACCACTTCCAGCCCCGCAGGCGCAGACGTTCGCTGTCTACAGAAGAGAGATTCTCCGGGCTTGAATTCAGACTCGGGGTTTATGGTCGAGCAGCAGGAGACGAGAGTAGAACAGGGTTCTGTGACTCAAATGAGCCGAGGGTCGTTTGATGTTCCACACGAAAGTAACAGTAATACTGTGTAGTACTACAGTGCAAACACTTAGGCAACTCTTTTGCTCTGAAATCACCAACCAAAGTATTGTTATGATAAAAAAACAACATCATTTTTATATAAATAATTCATAATAAAATCTGGGAGATTAGCGGGCAGAAAGTGGTCCCCGGGCCCTTAGTTTGAGAACCCAGTAGTAAAAGCTTTATTTCCTTTCCAGATTTTAAAAGTGTAGCATTTTATGTCAAAAAAAAAAAGCCCACAAAGCTCCGTCTGTCAGACATAATTCCCCCACCGTTTCTCCCCGTCCTTGGGCAAACGTCCAGGTGTGACTAAAAAAAGAGACTCATCTTCAACACGATGTGGTTGTGAGTGAGAGAGGAGAGCAGAAACCATGACGTGGGGATTTCTGTTGATGAACCTGCTGCTGCAGGAACCACATCCATCACCCACTCTTTACATCCCCTCACTGTCAACGAGAGTTCTCAGGCCACGGGTTCACGCTCACATGGGATCGAGTCGTCAAAAGGCAGCGTGGCCGTCCTTCTTCTTGAGAGTGGTTCTTCAGCAAAAGGCAGCGTGGCCGTCCTTCTTCTTTTTCTTCTTCTTGAGTGTGGTTCTTCACGAGCAGAAAAGAAACAGGCTTTTCAGTGCTTTTTGTGTCATGTAGTAAAAAGAAACCACTGAAGACCCCCTAAAAAACAGGACAAAGAAATGGACGAGGACGGCGTTGCCTTGAAGCAGAAGCAGAAAGAAGAACAGAAAACCTTAGAAACCCTGAAGGCCAAGGCTTCAGGGGAAGGACCTTTAGGTGGCAGTGGAATAAAAAAATCTGGCAAGAGGTAAAGTGTGGCTTCTGCCATGGAAGCAGAAGCAGAAAGAAGAACAGAAAACCTTAGAAACCCTGAAGGCCAAGGCTTCAGGGGAAGGACCTTTAGGTGGCAGTGGAATAAAAAAATCTGGCAAGAGGTAAAGTGTGGCTTCTGCCATGTTTTTTTCCCTTCTCATTGACATCACTTCTTCTTCTTCTTCTTCTTCTTCTTCTTCTTCTTCTTCTTCTTCTTCTTCTTCTTCTTCTTCTTCTTCTTCTTCTTCAGAAACCAAAGTATATAAAACAGATATTGCAGAATCATCTGTACAGTGTAAAAAACATGTATATTTATAGTTACCTTTGTATTATCTACTGTTTAAAAAAAAATTCTGACCTTCAACAAACCTGGTTTCTATTTCCTGTCTGATGCTGATGTCACTTCCTGTCCCTGTAGTCATTTTATTTTGGCGGTATTTTCAACCTGAGGTGTGTCAGTCACTTCCTGCTGCTCCACTTCCTGTTCCTCTGTGTTCCCACTGTGCCTCCTCCCCCTGGCCACGCCCCCTGAGGTTCCCTCCTCAGTGATTAACCTGACCTTTCACACCTGTGTCTCGTTACCTCCTCGTCCTGCTGGTCTTGGATGAACAGCAGTACTGACCTGTGGTCTGTTGTTTTGGTCCTTCAGTCTGTTCTCTGGACTTTTTGACTCTTCCACCTTCTGCCTCTTGGTAACATTATGGATTTTATTCTACAGCACCACCTGCAGGAAAGAAGGTGTCCATGCTTGTAAAAGGTAAGCGAGAGTTTTTTGTTTTGTTTTAGCGGTTCAAGCTAGTTACTAAGAGCCATGTGAACTCCACAGCAACCCTTTCTGATGCAACAGTCCTTAATGTTTCTGCTGGAGTTGAACCCTGAGACGCTGCAGTTTTAAATCCAACAGTTAACTCGTTCTCCTTCTCTGTTTTGAGAGAGAAACTTCACATGAGACACATTTGTATTTCAAGCACAAGAAAGAGGAGGAAAGTGAGAATCCTATTAATAGTTCCACTAAACTGGACCAGCCTCAGTTTGCTCTCACGATTCTTTATCTGGAAATGTTCCGTTCATGAAGCACCGCGGCGATCGCTGTGTTGTTGGTGAATTATCTTTATCTCATCCATTACCTGCCGCTCTGATCTATTCCCTCGCACTCCCATCAGTTACTGTCTTTTTTTTTTTAATAGCGGACCTTTTTATTATGTGGAAATTACAGGCAATAAAAGCAGCAGTAAAATGGTTGGGTTTATTTCCATTGTCCCTGTGAGGCAGTCTGTGGAGTAATAAAAAAACAAATCCCTTTTTTTTTTTTGAAATGTAATATTCTATTTTCTGAGAGGGTTTTCATTAAAAAGAAGAGAAATGAGTTGGAGCTTTAATCAGAGACCTGATGATGAGTCCCTGACCCCCGGCCTCTGTCTTCTCCCACGCGTGTCTTTCCAACTCCAGGACCTGCAGAGTCTAAACGCAGCGTAGCTGTGAAACGTGGTTGTTGTTCGTTGTATATTACAGTGACAGGATAACAACCTGTACTGACTGTAATGTCAGTGTGAAGTGGCTGCAGGTCGTAATGATGATGTCGGTGGTGATTAGTCATTGTTTTCATTCTATTATAATAATAATTATAATAATTAAATAATAATAGAGTTTGAACTTTATTGATCCCACACTGGGGAAATTCTCATGTTAACAGCAGATCTGACTGCAACCGGCTGCCACTTGGAGGCACTATGTATGTGATTCCTCTGGGACTCGAACCCAGGACCTTCTGCATGTAAGGCAGGTGTGATAACCGCTACACTAATAATAATAATAATATTTTTCTCTGCCGTCAATTTAGTCCCTTCCTCTTCCTCAATTTTTGTAGTAAAAATATCAACATACTTTAGTGAATGTGACTGACTTAAAAAAAAAAGAAAAGCACCGACTGTTTATTACTGTCAGAATTAGTCCCACTCCATTGACTCTGATCATTTGTCATCGTTATTTTTCTGCTCTGCTGTAAAACTCTGGTTTAATCACACATTAAACACAGACGTGAGTCTCGACTTAATCAACCAAATCATTGTTGGTGAAAACGCCGTCGTGAGGAGATGATGATGATGATGATGAGCGGAGGTTTGTTTTTACTGAGCGTGTCCCGTCTGTCACCTGAGAATAGACTTGTTCCTTATTACAGTTGGAGTCAGATTAAAGACGCTCTGTTCTCCTCCTCCAATCAGAGCTCCTTCTTCTTTCCTCAGCCTCCTCCAATCAGAGCTCCTTCTTCTTCTTCTCTCCTCACCATCAAACATTAAACTGGAGATTCCCTCACGTCGGCAGAGCGGGATCCTCGTACTGTAGCTCTGTTTGTGTAACTGCCGTCTGTGTTTCCTAAGAAGCCTCATTAAAGGAGACTCAACACCCAGTCTCACACCCTTTAACGACTGTTCCCCTGGATGGTATTAGGCTCCGCACGGAGGAAATCAATTAGTACCTGGAGGAAGATTACAGACACGTCTCACCCTGATCAGACGGCAGTTAAAGATGAGAGGAGAAGTCATCATTTAACCATGATTAAACGCACGGAGAGGGGGGAGGAAGAGGAGGAGGAGGAGGAGGGATGAAGTGGCTCCAGTACTGGAGACACAGCAGGAGTAATGAGGGAGGGAGGGAGGAGAGACCGACTTACCTGATTGTGGAGATGAGGAGAGAAGCACAAGAATGATGTGAACAGAGGAGGAAAAAGACAGAGGGCATTTTATATCCTTCCAAACATTGGTTCCCAACCACCGGACTGGGGACCAGTACCTGGCCATGAATTATGTGTTACTGGTCCACACAGACGGAATTTTATTTTCAATTTAAGTTGGTCTGCATGGTGTTTTATTTTTTTTTTTTTAAACGACTTAAATATAAATTAAAATGTAACATGTGGGAATGACGCAGCATCAGATAAAATATATTTTGAAATTTAACGTTGTTTATGTAATAATTGAATTATATGTGATGCACTTTGATGTGTTTAGTTATGATTTGTTTTGCCTAAAACGGGTCAGTGGTGCAAAAAAATAAAGTTATGGTTGTCAATCAAATTCAACAGAATAATATGGTGCATTATGAGAATTCGGCCGCACCTTTTTTTTTTTTTCTTTTCATCTAAGACTATGATGGGCCTCGGCCCGACTGCAGCCAATAGTATTATACAGACAATAGAGGGTGGTGACAGCTGCTTCTCAACTATCCATTAACTGCTCCAAAATGGCAACGCCTGGAAGAGGAGAGGAGACGGTCCTCACGTCCATCAAAGAGGCCGTTGGAAGAATGGGAAAAGCCAGGCGACAATGGAAGAGTGATGGAGGAGACTGGGCAGGAGGAAATGGATTTAAAGTGTACTTGGATGGATGGATGGATGGATGAATGAATGGATGAAAGGATGGAAGGATGGAAGGCAATCAGATCAGGTGAAATATATAAACCCTTTTTTTTCGTGACCCACTTTTGACGCCTCGGTCTCTTCGTTCCTCGTGGTCATTTCTCCGTCATTGGTCACTCATTACCTGCAGCCTTTTATTCAGTGTAGTTGAAGGTCGTGTTCTCCTTTATGATCCGTTCCTGAACGTTATTCTTCGTTATGACATTTTTCTGCTACCATTTTTTTGCTCTCCACGTTGAAGTCGTCGTTAAAGCTGACATTTGTCTTTTTGGCACCTGCTCCAGTCGTGCTGTTTTTATGTTAAGTTTTTTTTTACATTCTGTGACTGTTGACTCAAAATATGTTTATAGCGCCCCCTGCAGGGTTGGAATCAAATTTCTGTATTTTTCAAGACCAACTTAGAATGTTCAACTACTGAGAGACAACAGTTGGACATAAAGATTAACTGTTTAAAGTGATGTAGAATAATCTTACTCTTGTTCAGGGATTAACATCATCGGATTAACATAAATGGATGAAGTGTAAGAAGATAAATTAGTCACACCTGTTTTTTTATAGCTCCTACCTCAGTTGCTTGTGGAAAAGACATTCAAACGCAGCAGATATGTTGACTGTGAACCTGTGATGGATGTGTGACCTCTGCAGATTCTCATTTCCTTCAGAATACATTAACTCCAGTCATTTTATATTCACTTCCTGGACTTTTGTCAGTTTCCAGTTTCAACCAAAGCAGCTTCTCTGATAAATGTCTGTTGCCTTTTGGAAAATTAGATTTTTTTTTCTATTGGATCCACCTGACTGAAGAATAATAGCACATCTTCATACCTCTGAGTGGTCGGGGCGTTAATCACAGATTATACTCCTCTTCTTCATCCGTCCGTCACCTCTCGTCCGTCACCTCTCGTCCGTCACCTCTCGTCCGTCACGCAGCTCGTCGTTTCCCCTGATCTGCCTTTGAGCGTGTTTGTAAACAGAGCTCTTAATGACTTGGAGCCATTTACACGTACATGTTAGCTTTAGCTCGCGGGCTCATTCATCATCCGTCGTGCTGGCATTTCCGCGCGCCGTCCCCCCCTGCAGGTGGCTATTATAATGCTAATGGTATGGATCGAGATTGGATTCCAGCTTTATTTCTGTCAGCTCAGGCGTTTTTATATTAACGTCCCGACACTCAGACAGACAGCAGCCGCTAAAACAGCTCCACCCCAACCCCCCACACACACCCCCAAACACTATTGATGTAGGATAAATGGAGCAGATCAAAGCTGAGACTGAACGACAAGACCGGAGTCGGTGGTCCTGCAGGCAGAGCCGTTTACAGCGTCACTGTCGAGGCAGGATAATTGAGTCTGAGTGAAGTGAACACCTTTGTTGTGTCGTCACAACAGGTTGGGACAGAGAGTCTTGGGTTCGACTCCCAGAGGTTTGAGGTATCCCTAATGGCGCCTCCTGTGGCAGCCTCTGTCAATTGCGAGGACTGTATATTTCCCTGTTTTAGTATGAATAAGGTACGTCGAGGCAGGATAATTGAGTCTGAGTGGAGTGAACACCTTTGTCGTGTCGTCCGTGTGAAAGATGCACCAAAACCTGTGGAGGAAAATGGATCTGTCCCTTCACAGCAGCTCCATGACATGAACATAGACGAAGAGGTTGGGACAGAGAGTCTTGGGTTCGACTCCCAGAGGTTTGAGGTATCCCTAATGGCGCCTCCTGTGGCAGCCTCTGTCAATTGCGAGGACTGTATATTTCCCTGTTTTAGTACAAATAAGGGACTCAACACAAATACATGTTATTATTATTATTATTTAATAAAGACTAAAGTGTGGTTGTCTTTTGCTGGGTGGCGCTGTTGGTTCACCTGCATAACTTTAAATATTTTCCACCTCACTCCTCACATCACATACAAAGAATCTGTAGGGAGGGATTAAATCTGAGCCTCGGCACCAAGTGAAAATGTTTTACTGCTGCAATAACCACTCATATGCGAGTTGGCTGATTGAGAGGCGAGCGTGCGTTTATCTCCTCCCGTGTGAGGAGGCGTTTCAATGTCAGACTTTTAAAATCTTTTTCTGCTTCCTCAGCAGCTTCAATCTCCTGCCTGCCACTATCTGTGGTTCATTTCTGGGTTTGACTGATTTTGAGGGCTTCCCTTGAAGTCATTCCACTTTTTAGGTTTTAAAGACACCTAAATATGAATATAAATTATATATCTGCTTTTTTGTAGAGTAAAAATAAAACACAAATAGGTTTGAAACAATAGTAATAATTCTAGCGTCCCCTATGGGTCGTTTGGGTTTTTGTTCACAGTCCAAAAGTGAAGGATTAAGTTACTCTAAATTGAC